CCTTGGGAGTCTTCATGGTAGGTGTCTTTAAAGCATGTGTGTGCTTGAAAAGCCTCTCGTTTACTTTAACTTGGAAGACCTGTCCATGCCTTGACAGCTCAGTTTAGTCTTGTTTAAGTAATTTCACTTTGGTACCTTTATGTCTATTCAGCTTTCTCCAAAAATAAACACTTAGCCTTCAGGATGAACATTGTGGTACTTTCCTGCCACTACTCCATCCACAGAAGGTTGTTTCTTGCTTCTTGTGTGCTGCTGGAAGGCTGGGATATTTTGAACTTGATGATATGGCCCCAAATTCTGAGCTGATATAAATGTCTGCTTCCTATTAGATTTCTGCCATGTGTCAATAACCCTTTTCAAATGTGACTGCATGTTTATCTCTGTTTTCTAGTGGAACCTGTCCTGGTACTTGACAGAAGCAGGCATCTACAATCACTAATACCTTAAGGTCAATGTAGCTGTGAAAAAGGGTAAAGTTGTGACATTGTGCTTATAATAAAATTGCCTTCTAAGTTACAGTTGACCATGACTTTGGTCATGGTGATGGCTTAAGGACATAAAAATGTCAAATATGATTTGCAATACCTGGATGCAAACATTTTGTTGCTTGCTTTTGAAAATACTCTATTCGTTAACTTCTGTTAAAAAATACCAGTCAGAATTCTGCAAATAGGTAGACTAAAATTAAGTTTTGTGAATATTCTAATTTTTCATAATCTTTGTTTCAAAGCGCTATAAAACTTAGGAAATGCAGTTTTGCAGTAAACTTAAGGTTAAGGAAAATATTTGCAGGTCTATAAGTACATTTTTAAAGCATAGGAAAGCTTAGAATTTTTTAAGGATTGGCAGATGATAAATTGAAAATACCAGCTTCTATAAAAGTAGATTGCTTTAGGCTGGGACTTTGCCAGCTTGACTGTTGAAATTAATGGGATTAACATTGGGTACTTTAACTTGATATTTTATCCCTTAACACATTCTATTTAAAAAAAAATAACCTTGACTTTGAATCTTTTGAATTAATTTATTCTGGAGAAAAGATAGCATCTTTGCAGTACTTTTTCCTCTTAGGTGTTTTATGATATACATTTGATATGGCTTGTTTCCAATTTAAAATCATGCTTGTGTGTGGAGGAATTATTATATCAAACATTAGAGAAGAAATTACGTGGTATTGTTAATGAATTTGATTGTTAATTTCATGCCTCTAAATCAGGTGAAGCAGTGTGCTTCTGACTGCTTTGTGCTAGAATGGAGCAAGTGCAAAGCAGCTGGAATGTCTCAGGTATACAAGAAGGTTTAAAGCCTGTGCCTGTTGCCAGTGCAGCCCAGCTCTTGTGAGGCTGTGAATCTTGCTCTTAGTTTTCCCTGTGTGGCCAGAACTCTCCTGCTGCTGTTATGAGTTCGAGACCAATGAAAACTTGATCTGTGTTTTTTGATAGGGTCCTTTGTGTTGCTGGTTTTGTGAGTCTTAGAATTGCTCCTGTGTGCTAGGTGTGACTGTGATGTGATGTCTGTGTTTAAGATGCCCCTGCTACTGAGTTGCCTGTTAGTTACAGTAACAACAGCCTAGATGTGTATTATTGGAGATGGTGAAAATGCCTTTTTTCCACAACTTGCATATTGTGACTTTGTGTCCATGAACTTGATCTTTCATCACGATATTTAAAATTTTATGTACTGATTTTTCGGGTCTCAGAGTGGAAGCCCTTTCCAAATACCTTTCCATCAAGCACAGTCAAAGGATTTTGAATTTTACTACTGTGCAGACAGCTGTGATCTTCATAATTGGTTTGTGTGGGTGTCAGTGTTCAGATCTCCAATGAAATTTGTCAGAAAAGAAATGAGACACTGAATGAGAAGGGAATTAAAGCAGAAATTTGGCTGTACAGATGATTTAGCAGTAATCTAATGTGGAGCTAATTGGCTAGTATCCAAATTGTGCTTCTGATTGTTTGTTTTCCTCTGGGGAAAAATGTTATTGAATACTCGATGCCTGCTTCCCTGAAGTAAAATAACATAAGCTTCATGTCTCAGTATTTGTTCTAACATCAATTTTTATCTTGTGTGGCACAACTGTTTCTTATCGTGTACATGGATTATGATATCAAAACTAAAAGTGTTGGATTGTTGTAGCAAAATACTGGCCATGTGTAGGCCAGCAGGAGTTTTACATTATTAGTGCCAGAATTTCACTCTAGGTTGTTATACAGTAGATGAATTTTTAATTCTTAACTTTTGGTTGTCATCCATATTATATTCATTAGTCAGCAGAATGCAGTAGGTATGTTCCCTCTCTCCTCAAAAAAAAGACAGGTTACTTAAATGTTCATGGAATTGTACTCCTGCAGTCAGATGAAAAACTTTGTCTCAAAGGACAGTCTGCTGGAAGGCTTTAAAATTGTGTTGAATGTCCAAAGTCCTTCAGTCAAGTTAGGTACAGAAGTCATTGGGCCCTTCAGGAATGACCTCACCAGTTTCTGTAAAGGTGTTGGCCTCTGCTTTTTACCATATTTTTACTTATTGGACATTAACACTTTGTTCAACAAAAAACTTTTATAATATTAGTAGGAATCATCTTCCTTTATAATGCATTCTAACATTGCTACTTGCATGAATAATAATAATGAGAATATGTATGATTTTTATCTCAGATCTGTGTAAGATACTGGAGTTTGTGTCATAACCTGAGGCTGTGAGCAAGCACACTGACAAAATTTCTCCTTTGGAAATAAGGCAGCTACAGGACCTTAAGGAGACCTTTGTCTGTGGATTTAAAAACTGAAATATGCTTTAAGCATTATGCCAAGTGGAGTTCCAGTTTTCTATGCCTTGGATGCAGCAGAAGGGGATCTTGCAGGGGGTATTTTCTGGGGACTCAAGTAATCTGACATGGCATGGAATGTTTATGGGGATGTTGGGATAATGTGCAGCTATAACCGTTGTCTATGGCTGTTCTGGAGCAACATGTGTAGAGTGGTTGGTTGGGGATTTTTTGCAAAGATAAATTTACTGTCCCTGTGGTAAATGTTCATTGCTTATCTTGATACATTCTAATTTTTAGCTCAACAGAAGTCAATTATTTTTTTTTTCATAGCAGTCAACACACACAGTCCAGAGATTTTTGAGAGTGGATCTACAGATTTATATTTGTGTCCTCATGCTGGAATGATGGTACCATTTTGTATGTGTGACTAATGTCCTAAATACTTGGGCTTGTGTGCTGTGTCTCTTGTGCAGAGACAAATATTGTGTATCCCAGCAAGCAATTGTTCTTGCCTTAGATCTTGGAATAATTGCTGTTCGGAGCTAATCAGTATTAATAGGTTTTTAAAATGTTTCAGGACTTGTTTAAGGTAT